TTGCCACTTTCTCAGGTTTCCATTCTTTCATTCACTGTCGGGCAGACATATGGATGGATATCATATTTGATAAAGACTCCTTCCACCTTTCTAAATTTGATGCTCATATCCAACAGCCTGTCAAATTTTCCACACTGTAATGCTTTGGTGTCTGGGTACTCAGCTCCACTGCACAAAAAAACCACCACTTTGGAAGCCTCTCTTACAGTCTATAGGGGAACAGAAAACCTCCTCCCTTCCAACTTGCGATAGTGCTGAAGGACTTGTATGATAGAACTGTTGGAAAGAATGGTCTGACCCCAGCACTAGATTGCCTCAATACTCCTGTGGTCATTCAGCTTCCAATTAAAGGCCAAAGCTTTGAAGGGGGGTGGGCTCAGTGACATCAAGTGCTCAGCATTTTAACTGCCCTCTGGCAGCTGCCATTGTGAAGGCAACATTTCCTATTCTCTTGCAGATGCAGTGTCTCTTAGAGTATTTTGAGCATAATATTTCCCTCTACCAGTCTTGCAACATGCCTACTGTAAGGTGTTTTGCTTACTAGCCAGTTCCACCGGGATGGAACATGGTCCTTAAAGGCTAGTAGCCAACAAATACCATCCACTCATGGTCGTGCATCTGTTCCCTTATCACCACAGAACCTGGCCAGCTTTCAGGAAATACATCCACATGGCACTGACCCTTGGCATAACAGGAAGAACACTGTGGTTAGGTGCCAATTTTTCTCCCTTGCCTGAGGATAAAAGGACACCAGTGGCTGAGATGGCAAATATCACTATAGAATCACTCCCATTTGTTCGCAGTGGGAAACTTCCCCATCTGAACTTTAGAGTCTTGTTTGTTTCTTCTACTAGATGCGTCAGATTATTGTGAAGAGGCTGGAACAGATGTTTTGTATCATTAAAGTGCAGTTCATGGCAAAAGTGAGTACTACCCTGTTCGTCTCTGCAGCAAAGAATGAAGGACCCCAAGTTCTGTTCTCTTAGGACATGAAATATCACCAATATCACTATTCTCCAATTTTCCTTCCTTTTCCCCCATGGCCTGTGATCCCTCCATGTGCCTGCGAAGTTGGAATTATAAGGAAATCCCTTCAAAATATGTCAGCCTGTCTCAGACAATTCCCCCGTAGCTTGGAATGGCTGTACCTCAGTGCCTTAAAAGTTCACTATGCTCCCTTAGATTTCTTGTCAGAAATCTAAGGGACAATAAACTCTGGTTAGGAACGTGAAGAATTCCAGAACTTTTTCTCTGTGAAGAACCTTGTACATCATCTCTCTTAGAAATGGAAGATAGTGAGTTGTTTTGGCAGAACCAAGAAATACCATCCAAGCTGAGGAGTTTCTAGACTTTTACTCTGAAGGCACTAGAACAAGGTTTGTTTCTGTTTAGGGAGTTTTCTTCTTCTCTCATTAAGGGAGTCAACACGACACAAACAGAAGAGCACTGTTAACTGCTCTAGACAGATCAAGTTCAAAAGCAAATAAATAAAAATCAGTCCCATGACTCTGAGCAAAGTTCAGTTTCTCTTGTACAGAAGTGAATAAAATGCAGTCTGTGAGCACAATGCGAAATCAATAATATTTTGTGGCCCGTCCCCCAAGTTTCCCTGCAGTCCCCTCCCACGCCCCAAGAGTGAATGTGTTTTTGTTGCTGTTTTTAATAGTGAAGACATGTTTGGAGCACAGGTTTTCACACAAAAACGATTTTGGGGTAACTTCAACAATACCAAAATTGCTAAAGAGGGCGAGAAACCCAAACATGGAAGTAGCGATACTGTTCCTTCTAGTTTTGATTTTTAAAACATTTCAATTAGATACTTTGGGGTCTGATACGCTGCTGGAGCTGGGAGCAAAACTTTGGTTACCTCATGTACCAAGCAACCCGTTTGCTACTGAACACCATGACCGCTATGGCCACTATACTGGTCCCTGGCACAGGGACATCCATAAAATCTAGGATTTATACTAGTAATTTATGATAGGGATGAGCAAAGTGTGGTTCTCAGACTTAGCACTCAGGATAGCCCCCAGAAGCCCAATTTTAGGGGGAAAATACCGACTCTAAAAGCTCGTTTGTGCTCTTTAGAGGGCATGGAAAGTTATTCTGTCATGTTTGGGGGCTTCCTAAGCAACCCTACCCTTTGTCTGTCTGTCTGTTAAATCTCTACCCTACTCATTTAGTGGCAAGTCACTACTCTGGGCAGCTTACAACAAAGTATAAACATAACATGAAAACAGAAGAAAAAGAAAACCCCACCCCAAAACCTACCCACAATTTTGTAATTTTAAAAATAAAAATTGCCACTAGAGGATATACTGTCAAGTGATTTTTCCCAGTACAAAATGACATTTGGGAATAGGTAGGGTGCAAGAATGGGTGTGGCCATCCGACTTCCAGGGAGGTGTATGCATATGTGCACACAAATGTATGCTGTTTGGATCTCTGGAGTTTGCCCACCTCTTTAATTAAGATAATTTGATTGTCCTATTTGAACTGCTAGATAGCTCAGTGGTTTAAGCATCTGGCTGCAGAGCCAGAGGTTAGGAGTTAAAGAGTTCCAAGTCCATGATTATGATTATAAAAATATTTCCAGGGTGGATCAACTGGGGCAGGGGAGAAGTAAAATGTGAAACAAAAGCTAGGAAACCTTGCTGGTCTTTAAGAGGTCCCAGGAAAGAGTTTTGTCATGGCAAGAATTGAAAAATATATCAAGATTGAACAAGTTTGAGTATAGTAATCACATTCCTTCTTCTTTTTTTGTATTTTTTCCCATTAAACTACAACATAAACATAAAATACATAAACCAAAATCTAAATCGACTGTGTTCTCCACAACCATAGTTGGGACTTCTTGCAGTAATCCTCTTTTTCCTCTATCTTTCTTCTTCTTCTTCTTCTTTTAGTGTCCTCTTCTCCAGAACTGCATTAATTTTTGATTTGGAGCTTTCCTTTTCCTCTTGTTAGCACAAATTCGAGAAAGCTGCCCCATATATCATAGAATTTATTCTTTTTCATCTCTCCTTTCTTAACCTTTAAGTTACAAGTTAACTTACCATTTATAGCAATGTTCCATATTTCATTATACCATTTTTCCATTCGTAATTCAGACTTTGATTTCCAATTCCTAGCTATTATTATTCTGGCTGCTGTTAATAAATTGGTAATCAATTCTCTAGTCATGTTATCATATTCCACATTCTCAAATACTGATAACAGAGCTATCTCAGAATTAAATTTTATATCTTTTTCACATATGTCATTTAGTTCTTTAAACATTACTTTCCAAAATCTTTATAGTTTTTCGCATTCCCACCACATATGAAAGTATATACCAATTTCCTACTCACATTTCCAATAGACATTCAGATAACTAGTGTTAATTTTATTCAATTTTGTTGGTGTCAAATATCATCTTAAACCCAATTTGAAAAACTTTTCTCTTATTCTCCCATTTCTAATTTAAACTGATCATTATGAGTAGTTTGCTTGTGAGGCACCAATGTACAGTGGGGTCTCGACTTACGAACGGCTCGACATACGAACGTTTCGACTTACGAACCGCTCTCATAGGAATATATGGACTCGACTTACGAACTTAGATTCGAGTTACGAACTCTTTTTCCCCCTTTTTTAAAAAGCTAAGTCATCTTAGGTTAAAAGGAAAAAAGAAAAAATATCCCCCTCTAGTGGCAGAAGGCGGAATAGCAGCTTCCCATTATCTTCTATGGACGAAAAGAGCAGATACGGATTAAATGGTTTTGAATGCATTCCTATGGGAAATGCAGATTCGACTTAAGAACTTTTCGACCTGAGAACTGCCTTCCAATACTGCCTTCGTAAGTCGAGACCCCACTGTACTGTTGTTCTATAATCCATAATGCATAAATGAGTAACAGGTTTAAACAGAAGAATTTTAGAGTATAAATGTGAAAAACATGTTCCTATATCACATTAATGTTTCAGTCTACAACAGTTATTGAGGAAAAGGAAAAGGAGAACATGGATATAGAACATTCCGAGCACTTACTTATCTTTTGGTATTCTTTAAATAATCTCTATCAATTGTGGGTGCTTAAGAAAGTAAACATATTGTAAATCAAATTAATGATGATGGTGATGATGATGAATAGATTTACAGCATAGTTATTGTCTCACTGGGAGTGTAGTTGGAATTCTTGTTACATTTAAAATCTTTCAACCAAAATAAAACTGAAAGTTGACAATACTATATTCTTGTGAAATATTACCTTGCACTTTATCATTTCATTTTAAATGAAGTTTTCTAATCTATGTTACTTGATTATTTATTTTAAAATTGCTAGCAACTCATACATTCATCATAAAATAATAGAGTATGAAAAGATAATATAAAAAGGTTTTATAAGATTACTAAAGGACCACATTTCTTAATAAATTTATGGAAAATATGTAGACAACATATTTTATTGCATATTTTACTAAAGGTTTATAACCCACCTCTTCAACCCCTGAAAAAAACAGAAAATAAACAGAAACAAGAGACATAAAAGGAAACCAAAAACAAAAAATCCAGCAATAAAATCATAATCAGTAGATATAAAACCTGCAGCAATACTGAGTTACAATGCTCACTCCACAGTTTACAGTTGTTTCAAAACAGAGGTTTTCTGTCCTTTCCATAAATGCAGTGGGGAGGGAGAGTTATTTTTCTGACTACAAGTCCTGCATTGCTAGCATGGCCAGTGGTTACCCTGGCTGGGAGATGTATTCAAGGAAAATATTTTCCCCATCTACATTTATGGCCCCAAAGTTGCAAGTAGACAGTTGACTTAAATACATTGATGAAGTTGTTACATCACTTAGAGTGATTGTCCTAGCATTGCTCCTTATCTAAAAAATGATAGGTGAATTTCTTCACAGGTAAGGGAAATCCTCAGCACTTGACATTTGCAAATGATAAGCAATAAACAATGGAAATTTCAATATTTAGATTTTGTGTGATAATAATATTGCACTAGTTAACACTGACATTGAACATTTTAATTCAAGGTATCTTCAGATAATCAAACAATGTGATATTCCTTTCTTTGTTTCAAGGTCTCAACCAATGGAGAGAAAAGTGCAATGTCAGTTGTTCAAAACATGGATAATTTAATAGAAATCAGACTAAATCTTTGTTGGTTCAACCAGTTTTTTAAAAATCTGCAGGCTGGGATGAGTTATTTTCAGTATGAGAAGATGTGCTTTCAAAAGTGTAATTATTTAACAATCTTCCAGTCAACAACTTAAAGAAAACTGACATAATTTCCCAGAGTGTTCATTTGATGAAGTCCATCTTAAAATCAGCTTTAGCAGTTCTGCATTATGATTGTGATCCATGGGACAACTGAAAGATAAAAACAAAATATGATCTTCTAGCATTTCATTGGAGTATCACGTGCTTAGTTTCCCCCCTTCCTTTGGTTAAGTCTTCCTCCCCACCTTCCCACAAAGAGTTAATCAATTGTTGATGATGTGGTAATGCTCTGTTAAACAATTAAATGTTAAAGGCATGTCCTTGTACTGGACTGGCACCTCATCAAAATAGGAAACTGTTTAACTGTTTATAGGAAACTGTTTAAAACAACAACAAAAAAACTGTAGTGAAAAGTCCCTCCCATCTTTTAACTGACTGCTATATTTTAGTGTGTAGTGGATAGTTAGCTGGAGAGCTAAGTGAATTAGGTTTCTGGCTACGGAGCCCGAGGACTGGAGTTTGACTCCCCACTGTGCCTCCTGTGGGTACAGCCAGTCTGTGTGACCTTCAGCAAGCTTTGAAGTCCTAGGGCGCCCTCAGAAGAAGGGAATGGAAAACCACTGCTGGGTATTCTCTATCTAGAAAACCCTGAAAAGGGTTGCCATAAGTCAGAACTGAGTTTATAGCACACAGTTATTGTTATTAGTGGAAAGAAGGATGGACTAAGACTCAGGAAGCTTGGATCTGAATACCCACCCAGCCATGGAAACTGACTGGGGGAGTAGAACTGGTAAAAATTCCCCTTGAATATCTCATTTACCTTGAAAACCCCATTAGGGTCACAATAAGTCAGTCCAAACTTGAAGGCACATAACAACAACATAGCAAGTAAGGGGAGAGAGATGGGGTCTTACACAATCACACCCCTTTATAGTAAATTCAACCAGTGAGTGCTAAGAAAATATGAAATTAAAAAAGGGCCATTGGGGAAAAAAGAGACATCAGCATGCATCAGAGAACTGCAGAAATACAAAACACTTAAAGGAAGCAGAAAATGGCAAATCAAAGAAAACTTAAAGCAAAATAGCCTCATGAGGACTGAGAGTCAGTAGGCACAGAATGCTGCTTGCTTTAGCAAGGCCTGCCAAGACTTTGGATTAACAATCAGCCTGAAGAAAACACAACCTCCCTTTCCCCCGCCTCCCGCCCCCTGCTCATCCCCCCGCAGCAAGCGCCACTTTCAGAAGCCTCCCAGGGGCAGGGGAAAAGCACAATTTTTTACAGTATTTCAAGCTTTTTCCCTGCCTTCCCGGCAGCCATTTTGTGCTCTTCTCCGCCAGCCCCCCCACAGCAAAGCGCTGCTTTCAGAGGCTTCCCTGGGTGCTTTTGCACTGCCTTTTTACCTGCTGAGCAAGCCCAGGGAAGCCTCT